AGGATTCGCGGAGGGGGGAAAAGAGAGAGAGGGGTCGGCCCCCTCTCCTTGTCCTATTCGGACCAAGGGAGGGGAGGGGCGCGCGGCCCATGTAGGGCTGCCTCTTCTCTTTTCCACTAAGGCCCATCATGGCCCATTTAGCTCCCGGGGGGTTCCGGTAACCTCCCGGTACTCCGGTAAAATCCCGATTTCACCCGGAACACTTCCGGTATCCAAACATAGGCTTCCAATATATCAATCTTTATGTTTCGACCATTTTGAGACTCCTCGTCTTGTCCGTGATCACATCCGGGACTCCGAACAAACTTCGGTACATCAAAATGTATAAACTCATAATATAACTGTCATCGTAACCTTAAGCATGCGGACCCTACGGGTTCGAGAACAATGTAGACATGACCGAGACATGTCTCCGGTCAATAACCAATAGCGGAACCTGGATGCTCATATTGGCTCCTACATATTCGACGAAGATCTTTATCGGTCAGACCGCATAACAACATACGTTGTTCCCTTTGTCATCGGTATGTTACTTGCCCGAGATTCGATCGTCGGTATTCCAAATACCTAGTTCAATCTCGTTACCGGCAAGTCTCTTTACTCGTTCTGTAATACATCATCCCGCAACTAACTCATTGGTTGCAGTGCTTGCAAGGCTTAAGTGATGTGCATTACCGAGAGGGCCCAGAGATACCTCTCCGACAATCAGAGTGACAAATCCTAATCTCGAAATATGCCAACCCAACATGTACCTTTGGAGACACCTGTAGAGCTCCTTTATAATCACCCAGTTACGTTGTGACGTTTGGTAGCACACAAAGTGTTCCTTTGGTAAACGGGAGTTGCATAATCTCATAGTCATAGGAACATGTATAAGTCATGAAGAAAGCAATAGCAACATACTAAACGATCGGGTGCTAAGCTAGTGGAATGGGTCATGTCAATCAGATCATTCACTTAATGATGTGATCCCGTTAATCAAATAACAACTACTTGTTTATGGTTAGGAAACATAACCATCTTTGATTAACGAGCTAGTCAAGTAGAGGCATACTAGTGACACTTTGTTTGTCTATGTATTCACACATGTATTATGTTTCCGGTTAATACAATTCTAGCATGAATAATAAACATTTATCATGATATAAGGAAATAAATAATAAATTTATTATTGCCTCTAGGGCATATTTCCTTCATCCGGCGCGCCGGATGGACGGGGACTAGGGTTAGGGTTGGAGTGGATCCGGGATTTTCGGGAAGGGGCTATATATAGGCATAGGAGGAGCTAGGAGAGTCCAAATGAGGTGCGGTTTTCGGCCACGCGATCGTGATCGAACGCTCTAGATGATGGAGAGGGTTTTGGTGATTTTTGGGCCAACTTGGAGGGGTGTTGGGCTGCAACACACACGAGGCCTTTTCGGTCCCTCGGTTAACCGTTGGAGCATCAAACGAAGTCCAAATGGTACGAAACTTGACAGGCGGTCTACCGGTAGTAAACCAAGGCTGCTTGGCAAGTCTCGGTCCAATCCGGAAAAGTTTAATCCCCACACACGAAAGAAAGGTAGAAATGACACCGGAGGAGAACGAAGCGCCGGAATGCAAAACGGACAACGGGGAAAAATGCTCGAATGTATGAGATGAACACGTATGCAAATGCAATGCACATGATGACATGATATGAGATGCATGACAACGAGAACAACACATGGAGACAAAAACCCGAACCCGAGAAAATAAAATAACTTAAGGCCGGAAACGATAAGAGTTGAATTACATATTGGGTAAATCACATCTGGGGTGTTACACCCAACAAGGCCCATTAGCCCCCGGGGGGTTCCGGTAACCCCTCCAGTTAATCACTTATTATTTGTTGATGATAGCCTGCTGTTTTTTAAGGCTAGTGCAGATGGGGCGAATGAGGTAAACCAGTTGTTGAACACATATTGTCAGGCTTCGGGCCAACAGATCAACTATGATAAATCATCGATTTTCTTCAGTAAGAAATGCCTTGACAGTATAAAATAGGAGGTAAAGACTTTGCTGCAAGTCCCAAATGAAACTTTAAGTCCAAAATATTTGGGGATGCCCTCTGATGTGGGAGCCTCGAAGAATGGTGCATTCAAGTACTTGAAGGATTATCTGTGGAGTAAAGTGCAAGGATGGATCGAGAAAATGATGTCCACAGCAGGTAAGGAGGTTTTAGTTAAGGCAGTGGCTCAGGCGGTTCCAGTTTTCTCTATGTCATGCTTCAAGCTGCCTAGAGGGCTATGTGAACATCTAAACATGCTCATCCGGAAGTTCTGGTGGGGGAGCAAACATGGAAAATGCAAACCTAGTTGGGTCTCGTAGGAGGCGATGACACAACCGAACAGTATGGGAGGCTTGGGATTTAAAGACTTTGAATTATTCAATTTTTCACTTTTGGCAAAGCAAGCTTGGAGGATCCTACAACATCCAGAGTCACTAAGTGCTCGGATTCTTAAGAGTATATATTTTCCAGAATCATCTATACATATAGCTGAGCTAGGCGACCATCCAAGCCAGGTTTGGAGATCTATAGTTGAAGGCCGAGACATCCTAAAACTAGGGCTGATCAGAACAATCGGCAATGGCAGTTCCACCCACATTTGGAATGATAATTGGATTCCTAGGAAGGAGATGATGCGGCCTTTTGGGGCCCGAACAATAAACCCTCCCCAGATGGTCGCGGAGTTGATTGATGCCACTTCGGCCACATGGAATATCACCAGGTTGGAAGAAGTTTGTCTTCCAATTGATATAACAACGATATTGGAGATACCATTATGTACTAGCAATATCCCAGATACTTGGACATGGTTCTTTTAGAAGAATGGGTGTTTCTCAGTAAGACCAGCTTATAGAATGTTGATAGAAACCAAGTACCGGAGAGGATCATGGGTACTCCGGTAAAATCCCGATTTTACCCGGAACTCTTCCGATGTCCAAATGTAGGATTCCAATATATCAATCTTCATGTCTCGACCATTTCGAGACTCCTCGTCATGTCCGTGATCATATCCGGGACTCCGAACTACCTTCGGTACATCAAAACATATAAACTCATAAAACCGATCGTCACAGAACTTTAAGCGTGCGGACCCTACGGGTTCGAGAACTATGTAGACATGACCGAGACATGTCTCCGGTCAATAACCAATAGCGGAACCTGGATGCTCATATTCGTTCCTACATATTCTACGAAGATCTTTATTGGTCAAACCGCATAACACTATACGTTGTTCTCTTTGTCACTGGTATGTTACTTGCCCGAGATTCGATCGTCGGTATCCCAATACCTAGTTCAATCTCGTTACCGGCAAACCTCTTTTCTCGTTTCGTAATGCACTATCCCACAACTAACTCATTAGTTGCATTGCTTGCAAGGCTTATAGTGATGTGCATTACCGAGAGGGCCCCAGAGATACCTCTCCGACAATCGGAGTGAAAAATCCTAATCTTAATCTATGCCAACTCAACAAGTACCATCCAAGACACCTATAGAGCACCTTTATAATCACCCAGTTACGTTGTGACGTTTGGTAGCACATAAAGTGTTCCTCCGGTATTCGGGAGTTGCATAATCTCATAGTCATAAGAACATATATAAGTCATGAAGAAAGCAATAGCAGTAAACAAAAACGATCAAGTGCTAAGCTAACGGAATGGGTCAAGTCAATCACATCATTCTCCTAATGATGTGATCCCGTTAATCAAATGACAACTCATGTCTATGGTTAGAAAACTTAACCATCTTTGATTAACGAGCTAGTCAAGTAGAGGCATAGTAGTGACACTATGCTTGTCTATGTATTCACACATGTATTATGTTTCTGGTTAATACAATTCTAGCATGAATAATAAACATTTATCATGAAATAAGGAAATAAATAATAACTTTATTATTGCCTCTAGGGCATATTTCGTTCAATGTCCAATCGCCGTCGGCAGCTGAGTTTGATCTAGCGGCACATTAAGGTTGGAAAAAAGATAGGCGTAGGCGAGGTGGTTGGCTATCGCTTAGTGCCTAGGCAATGCTTAAGCACCCAAGGCATGCCCTAGGCGGTCGAGTATTATGTGTGGATTGAAGCTTTTTCCCTTTCCCAATCACCTAAGGAGAATTGCATGGTATACAGATTGTCATGGAAAGGCATTATTTGCACCTCTTAAGCAAGAACCCATGTGACGCACATGATCTTGAAGAACTAGAATTGATTGTAGGGTTTCTCCGTGTAAACCTTAGCTATGGCCATCCAATGAGACACTTCCGCTGGCAGTGCTTCTTTCCATTTGAAGATGACATCATCAAGATCGTATTCCGTTGAACCCAACCACTGCATCATGGCCTCAACATCGCTCGCATCTCCATCCGAGCTCGAAGCCTTTCCATACATGATGTTCCCTAGCCCGAAAGATTTAATCTACCGGACCCCTAAGCACTCCACCTCATACCAGAAAACCAAACAAGACCGGGCAGTTTGAGCGTGATCTGCAAGGGGAAAACCGGAGAAAGGGGATGAGATCCCTACGGTGGCGCTGGTCGTCACCGAGAGGAACTGGAACCCTAGGGAGAGGGAATTTCTTAACTCGTATTGTGCACGGCACCTGGACGAAGAGAATGGTTCATGATTTTTTTAGCTTTTTAGGGGCTTTTTTAGCTTATATATAAGCTGGCAAAGAGTGAAAACACCGATTTTTTCTTTTTGAAAATGAGAAAACAACGATTTTTTTTGTTGTTGAGAAAATGAGAAAACAACGAGCCGCTGGATGGAATTCCGTAGCCCAACGATTAGGCCCTGGCCCGCAAGCCCACCTAGTGCCGAAAGCTGAACCGGCCGGCACCTTGAAATACTCCGGCTTGGCGCCCGAGCGCAACCGTCCCAACCAACAGCCTTCGCTCCTCCTCTTCTCCCCGTCGCCGGAGCGCCAAGAAACCAAGAACCTCCTCTTCTCTGCAGCGGTCGATCGAGCACACGCGACCCATGGAGCAGTTCCATCACGGCCACCACGTGCGGCTGCGCAGCAGCGAGCTCGGCACGTACCTGCACGCCGACCAGGACGGACATGGCGTCTCCCTCCAGCACCGCCGGGCGTCGATGAAGGCGGCTTGGGCGGTGCACGTGTACCAGCCCCCCGAGGCGTTTGTGCCTCACCTGCTCCTCCACAGCGCCGCCTACGGTCGCTACCTCGCCGCCACGGACGAGCCGGCGCCGCAGGGCCACCGCGGGCGCCGCGTCGAGCAGCGCAACTACGACCATCCGGAGGCGGACGCACAGGGAATCATCTGGCTGGCCGTCCTGACGGCATCCAGAGACAAAGTCTTCCTCCGCAACTTCAACGGCGGCTGCCTCCGCGCCAACGGGAGGTACCGCCCCTGGAACAACGGCGCCAGTGTCGACGACGTCGACGTCAACGACATCGGCAACCTCAGCACGATGATGCACTGGGTCGTGGAGGACATCCCCGCCAGGGAGATCACGCCTCTCCTTCCACGCCCGGCTTGGGTGAGTCCCATCCCATGCCCGCTTCTTGATTCTTCCCGGATTTGCGCGAATTGGGTTCTTGGATGTTGCTAACATGCGTCCGTGTTTGACCGCAAAGATTGCAAATCCTGTTAATTTCATTCGCTTGGGAGCGATTCTTGGCTCTGTTTCTTTGATTTCTCCCATTCGTGATCGCATTCTCGAGTTCTTCGATCTGATGATGGTTCTTTGCGACTCAACTGCAGCTTACCCTCCCCGCCGTCATATCGCCGTCGCGGGTGATCGTGTACGTGTGGCTGGACGCCGACGGGACCGTCCTCAGCGAAGGCTCGTTCTCGTTCAGTGGGAGGTCCGTGTTCCGCCTGAGGAGCGAGCTGGCCAGGTGGCTCGCCGACAACGGCATCGCAATCGTGGACGCCCCCGACCTCGTCATGTGCCTCCCCACCCGTGATGGCCGCATTTCCCCACTCGTCGTCGACCTGCCCCGCAGCCTCCAGACCCTCCACATCATCGTCGTCATCGTCGGGTCGCCTGGTGAGAGCCCCTCCATATCCTCAACTTCTTACTCTTTTCCTTTAGCAGGAAACTTGTCTGAAATTACAGCAGTCTGAAAATAGTTTACTGAAACCGGTGTAGTCTGAAACTTTTGCTAATCTGTTTCAGTTAGGAGTTAAGACATGGAAATAGTCTGAACTGCTGTCGGATCATAGACATCACTAAAAGTTCCTGATTCAAATCCTCAACTTCTTACTCTTCTCCTTTGGCAGGAAACTCTTCATAGCATTTGCACTAGTCTTGAACTTGTCCGGATATTTTGTAGTACGTAATAGTAGTTTGCAGTATGAAAAATAGTTTACTGAAACCGGTGTAGTCTGAAACTTTTGCTACTCTGTTTCAGTTAGGAGCTAAGACTTGGGAAATAGTCTGAACTGCTGTCGGATCATAGACATCACAAAAGTTCCTGATTGAAAGTCACTAACAGATATGGAAACTATTGGTTTTGATGCTACTGTGCTTTGATTCAGATGATTCATCAGCTCTTAAATTTAATACTAGCAAAACCCAAATCAGTTCAGTCTGCCTAGTTCAGCTTCACAGAGAAGATAACGATTTCTGTTTCTTAGCCTACTGTAATTGTTTCGAGTAACGCGTGGACAAAATTCAGGTTCTGTTCCACAGCACAATATATTGTTTTGAGGTTTTGTACATCAGCTTCCTAAAATCTTCTTATTTAAACTTGTTGCAGTACCTGTGTTACATGACGCCTAACTGTTTAACTAATTTTCTGCTAATTCAGCTCACGCGGCGCTGCGGTACGCGGATGTCGATGCAGAGTAGAGAGATAGCCCTAGAAGTCGCCTTCCTGTCCACCTCTTCAGAAGTGTCGCCGCCTCGGAGACGACGACATTAGAACCCAGTTCCTTTCATAGAGATATGGGTTCAGGAAAACCCAGCAGTTCATTTGTTCCTGCTAGTTAAACTTGGTTTGTTCTCCTGACAGTAGGATACTTATTTGCTTGGCCATCACGGTTCTAAAGCTCTGAAACTGTTTGAGCAATGGTGCAGTGACTTTAGTCTATAATGCGTTGACAATGGCCACTACTTCAGCGTTGATAGCTGCATTTCTCTTAGGTGTCGACAGTGTAATGAACCTGCCTGAAGAACAGTTTACTGAAACTGTTGTATTCTGCAACTGCTGCTAATCTGCTTCAATTAGAACTTGGGAGCTGTCTGGATTATTGTATTAGATATAAGTAGAAGGAGTTGAATAGAAATAGTTGGTATTTGCTTTAGTTGTACAGATGATAGAAGGTTTGTCTGAAGCTAATTGGTCTACATTAGTCACATATTCACACTAAACCTTGATAAATAATTGTTTGGTTTCATACTGCTGTCCTTGATTAGCATACTCTAGAACTTGGAAACCTAAATCTGTCAAGTTTCTGTTTGATTTACCGCAAAAAAAAAGTTTCTGTTTGATTAGCGTACTGCAATCCTGATTTTTGTTTGATTTAGCGTATTGTAAAGGCTTTGAATAACTGAACCAAATTCAGTTTTTCAGGTTCTGCACATCGGCTGTCTGTCTTCTAAGTTCATTCTGCAAAACAGTTCTCTAACGGTCGCATTATCAGTGACACGACATGATACCTAAATTCCTCACTGTCTGTGCTAATTCAGCCAACACCGAACTGCGGTACCGGGATGTCAGTGCAGAGTAGAGAAAGATAGGAGCAGGACTCCTGACGGTCGCTCGACAGTCCACCTCTTCAGAAGTGTCGCCGCATGGGACACGATGACATGAGAATTCAGAATATTTTGCACTGAGATATAGGGTAGTTTAGGAGGAAAACCCAGCAGCTCTTATGTTTCTGCTAGCTGAACTTGATTCATTCTCCAGACAGGAGGAACCTCTCTGTTTTGCCCTTGTGGTTCTAAACTTCAGAACCTGTATGAAAAAATTATACAGTGACGTCGGTCAGTAATGACTGCGTTCTTATTGTGGCTGCTACTTCGGCGTTTCGGGGTGCATTTCTCTTACATGCCAGCAATGATGCGGTGGTTCTTGCAGTTAGTTTTGCAGTCCACTCGAGTTTAGATGTGCGCTTTCAAGTTTCAGTGCATCAGCGGAAAATGAATTTGTGTTTCGACAGAGATCTAGTTCTGATTTCTGAACATGCAAATGTTCATGGCTTGATCCATGCCTGGCGTTCTCGATTTATCTTTGAATAGCAGGTGAACAAAACTCAGGTCTTGAATACTAGCTAGTTTCTGCACATTACATTAGTTTCTCTCAACCACATGATCAGAACTCATCAATTACATATCGCGCAGCAACAGAGGTACAGGACTAGATGCTCCAATCAATACAGTTTTCAGCCAAACAGCTGAAACTTGAGAGACACCATCATCAAATGTCAAAACTACGCAAGATCGTTTCGATCGATCCATGAAAGCCACCTAGCCTAGATCGGACAAGATCAGAAGTTCACAACTCATCAGTTGCACACTTGCACTTGCACCTTGCGTAGCAACAGGTCTACAGGGTAACAGCCTTACATTCAGCTAATGTCAGCTAAACTGCCAGAGCTCCAGGGACAAAGACGAATCGAACATGAAACTAGGCAAGTTTAGCGTAGCCGGACACGATCGATCAGGCATCGTCGTCGTCGTCGCTGCCGACTCGCCGCTGTTGTTTGTGGTAGTCCAGGGCTTGGAGTTCGACGCCTTGGTTGGCCATCTCGCAAGCGTCGATCCAGTCGTGGTAGACGTCGACGGGCTCGGTGAGGTAGTGCGCGGTGGTGTGGTAGAACTCCTGGCAGACGTAGCAGACGGCGGTGGCGACGTAGAGCTTGAGGTCGATGGTGCAGGACACGCCGCCGGGGTGGTTGCAGAAGGGGCAGCAGAAGGAGGTCTCCAGCTTGGGCGCCGGCTTCTTCCGCTGAGCCATCTTGGAACTCATCGACTTGCGCTTCGCCATCTTCTTCGATCACCACCAGATCGCAGGTGGGTTCTTGGCAGCACAACTTGCTGCTACGTAGGAGAGACAGTGTGTTGGTAGGCAAAGGGTTGGGCGTGCTGCCTTATAAAGGATGTGCCTACTCCGACTCCAGCTCCTCTTCGGCGGCAGCAGCAATGCATATGCATAGCATATGCATTGCGAGGTGAATATGGCGGTGCAACCAAGCCATTAACGATCGAGTCGGAGCCGGATTCTGTTGCCCAGTCCAAATGGCCGCAGTCCGCCTGGGCTAGTAGGCTACGCATTGCTGGCTGGGCTGGTGCTCCGCGCGCGGTGGGAAAACTACGCGCTTTTTTTTTCCTTTCTTTTTTCTGGAAAACAAATCAAATGATTTTTTTAGGGAAGACATACTTTAGTCATCAAATAACAGTTATATCGTCTATAACAATTTCACGATAAAGTATGAAGGAGCGTCATCCCAAATAGAAGGGTTATCCGTCCGTCTCATCTAGTTAACCCATGAGCTACATAATTTGACTCTCTAATATAATGCTCAGTAGTATCCTTCCCGATGTCTACTAAGATAATACTACGACAATCTTCTAGCACGCACCACTATGGAATGTCCTTCATTTTGGTTAAGAGAGTATTGTGTGACGATTGGTACCAGCATGACACCATGACCCATAATTATCAATAAATCTCATGGTTATCAGACTCTAGCATAGCTGCCAGTGCTGCCACCATGGAATGTCCTTCATTTTGATTATTAATAATTACCGGTCCTGCCACTATGACCCATAATTATCAATAAATCTCCTATATTGTTTGGCCAGCATTGCCAAATTGAAGCTATATATGAATATCTCGAAAACCCATGCCTCCTCTCTCCTTAGGAACACACATCTTCCACCAAGCAAACCAATGCATCCTTCGTTGGTTATCCTCGTCACCCCGCCAATATTGCGACATTGCATGAGTGACCCCCTTGCAAACTATCTTTGGAAATTTAAATACACTCATCGCATATGTTGGAATGGCTTCAGCCACCACTTTCAACAAGGCCTCCTTTCCTCCATAGGAGAGAGTTCTCTCCTTCCATCCATTCACCATCACCAAGATTCTCTCAATAATATGTTTGAAACAATCACCCCGGTCGACACCAATCATAGATGAAAGTCCCAAATATTTATCCGAGAGAGATTCAGTCATTATATTCAAAATTTGACAAACTTCAGCCTTCACCTCCACATCTGTATTTCGGCTGAAAAAATAGAGCATTTGGCTTCACTCACCATTTGACTCGAGGCTAGACAATATTAATCTAGGATTCCACGCAGAGTGTTTGCATTTTGGATACATGCTCTCATAAGAATAAGAGAGTCATCAACAAATAATTAATGAGAGAGTTTTGGAGAGTCTCTGCACACCTGGAGCCTGTTCAACTTTCCAGCTTCCTCCTCATGATTAATTAGAGATGATAATCTTTCCGCACATAGAAGAAAAAGATATGGAGACAAAGGGTCCCCTGTATCAGTCTCCGTGTGGGTGTAAATGGCAATGCCTCATTCAAATTGAACCGAACCTTATACTCAACTGAGGTGACACAAGACATCACCAGTTGGCCAATTTGCAACAAAACCCAACTTAGACAACATAGCCTCCAAGAAGACCCACTCTACACGGTCATATGCTTTGTGCATATCTAGTTTCGCTGCGCATGTTCTAGTCTTACCCTTCTTCTTCTTCTTCATTGTATGGAGACATTCATATGCCACGCTAACATTGTCAGTGATAATGCGACCAGGAACAAACACACTTTGTGTCTCAGTAATGATGTCCGGGAGAAAAATCTTCAAGCGCGTAGCAAGCATCTTTGAGATTACCTTGTAAATCATATTACATAAACTGATCGGCCAGAACTGAGTGATTTTCTCTGGGTTATCAACTTTGGAAATCAAGATAATTGTTGTGACGTCCCAAAATGATTTAAAACCACATGGGTCCTCCTCAAGGTAGATCTTACGTTTTTTTTTCATGTGTGTTTTGTGATTACCTCATTTCATGGATTCACTAGTATTTGGCCTATTTTTATTGTCCAAAAAAAATGATTCACTAGCATTTTTTTTATTTAAAGAGAGCTTCCTCTCCGATTTTCATTACTAGAAACCTGGATTCACTAGTATAATTGTGGAGTTGTTCCAACCACTTCAACTTTGTATTTTGGCACACTGCAACATGATAGGCTCCCGAGGACGTACGCATGCGTCCTCTGCAACCAGGAGCCGGAGTCTCCTTGTCGGAAGAAGCTCCTTATCTCGTCAAGTGTCATACAAGGTTGCATGCATCCTTGTGGCTCTGAAAACACCGAAATGACTTCATCTTCAACAGCCAGGAGCCCTCTCGGTCTCTCGTCTGGTTCGGGCCATACAGGAGGAGGCAAAACTTTGGGTCAACACCGGCGCCAAGGGACTACTAATCTTATTGCCGGCAGGTTAGCTAGGTTATTGTTCTAGGGCCGGGAACCCCTTTGTACTTCTGCTCTTAGCACATCACGCCGTCCTTGTGTCATAATATTCATGGAGAAAAGGGGCGCTAGCATGAAACACACAAAAAATAGGCCGTGATTGGTTTCTCTCCTTTTCTCCTGTGCTACCTAAGGTCTCTCACTCGCGATACAATAAAGTTTGGTGCGCATGTAACTAGAATTTTTTTATGAAGCATGATACAACAAATTTGTTTTTAGCAAAACATGAGAGGCGAGCTTTTTCTTGAGCACAGAAAAACAATTCATGAGCTTTTTTAGTAACAGATCATTTTTTTACCGTTTTCTAGAATTAACCACTTAATTCAACCATATGTAACGTCTATTACTTGCATAATTCCAGAAGTGGTACATAACCAAGAATGTTTTTAAATTGGCTTCTCTTCCTTCTTAAAAACAAGCGTTGGGAGGGGGTGTGGGGTTATAACCCAACACCATGCTCTTGGAATGACCAAACATGCCATAGACCGCACACCAATCTAGTAGCCTCTTGTACTTTAGTGTTAGTAAGAGCATCTCTAGCAAACACCGCATCCGGCTGGCCCGCAAAACGCGTTTGTTGTTCGCGGAAAAATGGCTTTGCGGGCCGGCGCGGATGGCCGCAAATGCAGACCCCGCATAACGGACCCGTAGAATATCCACTTTTACGGGTCGGCTTTACGGGGTCTGATTTGGCACAGCTCCTCCCGGCCCAGAAAACCTAAATTTGCATCTTAATTTGATCCAACATAATGCATTTATTTGCTTTTTCAACAACATTGGATACATAAGACATCACCAAATCTTTGTTAGAATAGCAAGACCAAAGAAAATAAGAACTGCGAGTATGCATTTTAGATGATTTCCAACTTCCATAACTGCTCCCACTAGTTGGACTAATATCTTCTCCATGCATTCGTTGTTGATCTGTGGATTCTTGATTTTGCATTCTTCTTTCATCATCTTTGGTTCGAAAGAAGTAGACGTTGCTTCCCCTATAGTTGCACATGCAGCCGCATTATTGCCTTCGATTCTACTAAGGAGTGCACGAACGTCTATTAAGTTTCTTTATATCAATAAATCAATATATTCACCTTCCCAAAACCAAAATGAGCATCCATCTTCCTACACACATGATGATGTTCGACATGAGCTACCGCAATCGAACAAAAGAATGAGCTATCAAAATGAGCCGAATGAAAACAACACGTACCCCACCGTTTTTGCATTTGAAGAACACCCATCCGGGGTGCTTCGGCGTGCCTGAAGTTAGCCATAGCATTGTCCGTGTGCAGTCGTCGCACTGTATGAGCGGCATCGGCGAGCCACAGAGCCGCTGCGTGAGCGCCGAGCCCGGTGGACGGGCGGACGAATCCATGCCCGCAAACCGTCGACGGCGGCGGGAGGGCGAACCCGTACCTGCATGTGGCGATGCGACCTTGTCGGAGCTGCGAGAGATGCTCCCCGACCATTCCATCGCTTGGCGCAACCACCGGCAGCTGGAAAAGCCAAATCCGGCGGCCTGCGATGAAGGGCCGCAGATCCGTAACTTTTTGGCCCGCCAATGCAGGAAGAGGGGGGAGGGCAACCTCGTGCGTGTGTCGGCCTTTCGGCGTGCTCCCGCTGGCTGCTTTCGCCGAAATCTTGGGTGGCGGCGGGGCGAGGGGGAGAGGGGAGGTGGTTGGTGGGAAAAAGCGTGGGCTGAAATGTCCTCCCCACCAACCGCTTCCGCTTATATGCAGGGCACCGTAGGGGCGAGGGGGAAACCGGCGTATTCGCGGGTTGGGGCCGAGATTTTGCCGCGCCCCTCAAAATTTTTTGCCGGCCGGCCGCGTTTGTGGGGTCTGTTCGGGTGGAATTTTCCGCGCCAACCCGCATTTTGACGGTTATTTTGTGGGTCGGGATTTTTTGCGGATCTGCTAGAGTTGCTCTAACTCGTTGCGTTGAGCGTACAATAGGGATTTTGCGCCGCGGTGTGGCTAAAGGAAACACATCATGTGAGTGGGCTTCTACATTTTTTTTTTGACGTATTGTGTTTTGTCTTAGGGTGGATACTACTGGTAGGAGTGTGTGGGCTGGGCCCGCAAGCCCACTAGACGAGCATGGCGACGCGGCAGGCACCTTGAAATACCCCGCCTTGGCGCCCGAACGTAACCGTCCCAACCAGCACCTTGAAATACCCCGCCTTGGAGCACCAAGAAACCAAGAACCCACCTCTCCTTCCCCACCGCGCGCCTCTGCTCTCCTGCGTCACCGGCGAGCGATGGAGCAGTTCCAGGACGGCCACCACGTGCGCCTGCGGAGCCGCGAGCGCGGCACGTACCTGCACGCCGACGACGACGGGCTTGGCGTCTCCCTCCGCCGGAACCGCGCGTCGATGAACGCGGCCTGGGCGGTGCACGTCTACCAGGGAGATGGCAACAACCAGTACGTGCTCCTCCACAGCGCCGCCTACGGCCGCTACCTCGGCGCCACGGACGTGCCGGCGCGGCGAGGCCACAGCGGGCGCCGCGTCGAGCAGTGCGACTACGAGCCCTGGGAGGAGATGGCCATCAGGTGGCAGGTCGTCAGGATCGGCTCGGGGGACGATATCCTGCTCCGCCAGGCGGTCGCCGGCCGCCTCCGCGCCAACGGGAGGTACCTCAGCGTCGACGCCTTCAACAGCGTCGGCCCGATGATGCATTGGGTCGTGGAGCAAATCCCCGCTAGGGAGGACACGCCTCACCTTGCAGCTCCGACTGGGGTGAGTCCGCCATGCCCGCTTCTTCATACTTCTCGAACTGCTTTCAGCGGAACTATCGATTGGGCGAATTTGGTTCTCTGGTGTCGTTAGTTTGCGTCAGAATTCAACCGCGGAGATTGCAGATTGTGTTAATTTCATTCGCCAAATTTGCGCTTCTTGATTCTTCCCGAATTGGGTTCTTGTTTGTCGTTACAATTGGGGATTTGTGTTCCGATAAAAGAATTGAGTACCCTGCTTCGTACGTATTTGATGGTTCTTTGTGCTCAACTGCAGCTCCGCTTCCCCAGAAGCCTCGCCTTCCTGTTGCCGTGGCGGGTGATCCAGTACGAGCAGGCCGGCGCCGGCGAGCCCAACGCCAACTTCGCCTGGAACTCATTCCTATTCAGGGGCAGGTCCGTGTTCCACCTGAGGAAGAAGCTGGCCCGCCGGCTGGATGCCGCCATGGACGCCTCCAACCTCGTCATGTGCGTCCGAGCGGGTACGCAGGGGCGGCCTACCCCACTGCTCGTCGATCTGCCACACAGCGACGAGACCCTCGACATCATCGTCGTCATGGCCGGGACGCCAGGTGAGACGCGCCATTCCTAACTTCCTAGTTCCTATTTTAATGGAGTACTGATCAGCTTGTGCTGGAAGACATTGTAATGAAACTGTCTGAAGAACAGTTTACTGAAACTGTTGTATTCTGCAACTGCTTATAATCTTCAGTTAGGAATGTGGACTGTTGTAGTATTAGATATAAGTAGGGAATTGAATGGAAATAGTTAGTATTTGCATTATGCCTTCTGTAAAAATGCTACTAGATGGTAATCTAAAGCCAGTTTGTTTGGGGATAAATCATAACATATTCACATTAAACCCTGACACAGATATTATTGGTTTCATAGTACTGTCCTTGATACAAATAATCCAGTTTTCCCATTCGGCACTATTTGTCGCTTGTAGAAACTTTGGAACTCAGATACCCAACTCAGTCAAGTTATTTGTACTGTAAATTCTGTTTGAACAACATGTGAACCAAATTCAGGTTAATCCTACAGTATTTCATGAAATATTTCTTTCAGGTTTTTTGCACATTATATTATTGTTTTTCAGGCTTTTTGTGCACAATCCTACAGTTATTCATTAGTTATGCAAAACAGTGATATTTAAATTATCGATCTTCTCAAACTGTTGCACTACCTGTGACATGATGCCTAACTTCCTCACTTTCTGTTCTAAATTCAGCCCACGCAGACCTGCGGTACCCGAATGTCAATGCAGAGTAGAGAAAGATCAGAGCGGGACTCCTGACCGTCGACGGCCCACCTCTTCAGAAGTGTCGCCGCCTCGGACTGTGTGACATGATAATTCAGAACTGCATTTTTCATTGAGATATCGGTTTAGGAAGCGCCTCTTGTGTCTGTTAGCATAGATAAACTTGATTCATTCTCCAGACTGGAGGAACCTTTCCCTTGTGGTTCTAAATTTCAGAATCTGTGTGAAGAAATTATACATTGGCGTTGGTCTGTAATGATTGCGTTCTTACTGTGGCTGCTACTTCAGCATTTGAATGTGTGAAGAAATTATACATTTCTCTAAGATGTCAACTTGAGAACCTCTGTGAACAGTTATGCAATGGCATTGGTTGTGTTCTTGTTATTGCTGCTACTTCAGCTTTTGAATCGCCAAGTGCATTTGAATGTCACTGGTTCCTCTTAGAGAAATTATACATTTCTCTAAGATGTCAACTTGAGAACCTCTGTGAACAGTTAAGCAATGGCATTGGTTGTGTTCTTGTTATTGCTGCTACTTCAGCTTTTGAATCGCCAAGTGCATTTGAATGTCACTGGTTCCTCTTAGATGTCAGCACTGCCGTTTCAAGTTTCAGTCATTCAGCAGAAAATGAATTTTACAAGATATGTACTGGTCGATATTGTTTGCTGCATTGACATGATCTTTTGGGATCAGCTTGTGGTGGAAGACAGTGCTAATCTTCAGTTAGGAGTTTACTGAAACTGTTGTATTCTGTAACTGCTGCTAATCTTCAGTTTAGGAGTTTACTGAAACTATTGTATTCTGCAACTGCTGATAATCTTCAGTTAGGAGTTTGGAGTTGTCTGGACTGTTGTCTGTATTAGATATAAGTAGAAGGAGTTGAATAGAAATAGTTGGTATTTCCATTATGCCTGTTGCACAGAAGCTAGAAGGTGATCTGAAGCTAAACTGGTTGTTGGGGAGAAAATAATTACTTAAGTCACATATTCAGACTAAACCTTGATACAGAAATTTTTGGTTTCATATGAGTGGCACAGATAACTAAATTTCCCCATTTGGAAGTCAGAAACCCAACTCAGTCAAGTTATGTGTTCTCAGCCTTAAAGAGAAGATACAGATTTCTGGTTGATTTAGCATATTGTATATTTTTTGAACAACATTCAAACCAAATTCAGGTTATATTGATGGTACCAAATTCAGGTTGTTTTCCAGGTTTTGTACATAAGCTGTCTTCTTTGTCAATTATGCAATACAATGATATTTAAGTTATATATAGATCTTCTTCAGCGATTGCCTGTGACATGATTTCTTACTCTTTCACTGTCTGGTCTAATTCAGCCCACGCCGAGTTACGGTACCCGGATGTCAATGCAGCGTAGAGAATGATAAGAGGACTCCTGACCGTCGCCTGACAGGCCTCCTCTTCAGAAGTGTCGCCGCCTCCGACACAATGACATGAGAATTCAGAACCACGATTTGCATTCAGCTATTGGATTAAAACCACAATCAGTTTTGTTCTTGATTATTTCATTAACCTGTGAAATGATGTATGTCTAACTGCTTCGATGTTTCTGCTAATTCAGCCCACGCGGAGGTGCGGTATGCGGATGTCGATGCAGTGTAGAGAAAGAACAGAGCAGACTCCTGACTGCCGCTTCACAGTTCACTCCTTCAGAGTGTCTGCCGCACGTGAATCCTAAATTTTTTGCACTAAGATAGTGGTTGAGGAAAACCCAGCAGTTGTTGTATTTCTGCTACGTACTAAACTTGGTCCATTATCCTGACAGTAGGAAATCCATTTTGGGTTGGTCTCGCTGTTCTAAAATTCAGAAACTGCTTGAGCAATGATGTGGTGACATTAGTCTGTAATGTTTGCGCTTCTTATTCTGTTGTGCCGGCTGGGTTTAGCTGGTGTCAACAAAGAAGTGGTGATTTTTTTTGCAGTGAGTTGAGGAATTGAGTCCTATAGCAGAGAATGAATTTGTTTTTTGACAGAACTCTCAACGTGCTGCATTTTCCTGTGCGCCTGGTGGTTGTATAAGATACCGCTTAAACCAAGGACAGGCGATCCCTGTCTAACCCATTTTTATTGGTTATTACCTACTCCCTCCGTTCTGAATTACTTGTCGCAGGTATGGGTATATTTAGATATATTTTAGTTCTAGATACATCCATTTCCGCGACGAGTAATTTGGAACAGAGGGAGTATGTGTTTTCACCCTTAAAGAGAAGATACCAATTTCTGTTTGATTTAGCATATTATAAATGTTTTTTATTAACCTGTGAACCAAATTCAGGCTGTATAAGTTGTATCCTACTCCTACAGTATTTCATGAAAGCTATTTTCTGCACATTATATTGCTGTTTCTCAGGTTTTGTACATAAGCTGTCTTTTCGTTAATTCTGCAAAACAGCGGTATTTTAGGAATTGACCTTCTCAAACCGTTGCACTACCCTTTTTTCGGTAAAGGAGGAGTACCCCGGCCTTTGCATTTCTTGATGCACACAACCATCTTATTAAATAAATCAAATCCAAAACAAATTCTTAAACAGTAGTACAACAACTCCAAAAATAAATTTGCCACAACTGGCGAAGAATAGGGAAAGATGAGTAAACACCTATCCTATTTATTTGACCGTCATCCAAACCAGTTGTAAGTATCCGTACAACCATCTCTCATCGATTGCACCCAATATCCAAGTAGATGCCCTGAAGATAACCGGCAAAAAATTAGTGATGGTTTGCCTGTTAAAGACAACATCATTCCGACAATTTCATATAGCCCAAAGTAATGCACATACTCCAACTCGAATATGTGCCGCGGTCTTAGGCTCTATCCCAGTTAACCAGGTCCCAAATAAATGCGAGATTGAGACTGGTGGAACAACATTTAAAGCAACATGAATAGTTCTCCACAGTAACTTGGCAAGTGGGCATTGGAGAAAAAAATGTTCTATTGTTTCATCCTGATCACAAAAACAACATCTTTTGCTTCCTTCCCAACTACGCTTGACCAAGTTATCTTTTGTCAAAATTACTCTCTTATGCACAAACTACATAAACACCTTTATATTCAAAGGCACTTTAACTCTCCAAATGTGCATCGTCCCTGTGACAGGCCCGGTGTTAATCAAATCCATATACATAGATTTAACCGAGAATACTCCTGACGCGGACAACTTCCAACGTAAGGAGTTTGTGGCATCAGAAAGGTTAACCTCCATTAACCTACGCACGGGATGCAACATCTGTCCCATCGATCACCCAGTAAAGGCCGCCGGAACTGAATGTTTAGAGGAACAGATCCCAATACTATACCAATAAAAACCTCTTTCTGTTGTACAATGTTATATAGGGAGGGATACAACAAGGCTAATGGAATCTCACCCAACCAGGTGTCCTCCCAAAACCTAGTACCTTGTCCATTACCTACAATGAATTTGCTCCTGTTAAAGAAGACAACCATTGTCCTCATAAGCCCCTTCCAAAAAGGAGAGTCGGCCGGTTGTGCCATCACTTGAGCCAGCGTTTTAGAATGTAAACATTTATTACTCAGTAGCTGAATCCAAACCCTGTCTCTCTCTAAGGCCAACCGATAAAGCCATCTACTAAGTAAGCACTTATTCTCCACCTCTATATTTTCAATACCCAAGCCACCTTGGTCCTCTGGTCTATAGATAATGTCCCATTTGGCCAACCTATATTTAGTTTTTTTCATCGATTTGCCAAAAGAAGCGAGATCGATAAAAATCCAGTCTTTCCCATACTCCTACTGTTACTTCAAAAAAGGAAAGGAGGAACATCGGCATACTCGTGAGCACCGATTTTATCAGAACCTGTCTCCCTCCATAAGATAAGAGTTTGCCCTTCCAGCAACTCAATTTATTTTCAAATCGATCTTCGATACACTTCCACTCTTTATTGGTGAATTTGTGATGATGAATTGGGATCCCCAAGTAAGTAAAAGGTAAAGAACCTAGTTCACAGCCGAACAACTGTTTATAATGATCATGTTCTTCTTTGGCGCGTCCAAACAGAACAATTCACTCTTATTAAAGTTAATCTTCAGTCCGAACAGTTGTTCAAAAAGGCATAGAACTAGTTTCATGTTCCTTGCCTTAGCTAGATCGCCGTTCTCTCTCGCTCTGTTGATTAGAACGGCCAACATATCAACGACAACATTAAATAAGATTGGAGACATCGGATCTCCCTGTCTTAGATCTTTTTGTGTTTGGAAGAAAAATGACCGATATCGTCATTAACCTTGATTCCAATGCCTTCCTGTACAAATGATTCGACCTGCTTCCTCCAAGCTAGATCGAACCCTTTCATATGCAAAGCCTGCTGTAAGAATGGCCATTTCACTTTATCATAAGCCTTTTCAGTGTCCATTTGGAAGACCACTCCATCGAGTTTCTTTGAATGGATGTCGTGCAAGGTTTCATGTAGGACGACCACTCTCGAGAATGTGGTGTCCCCGCATGAAAGCAGTCTGGGTTGGCTAAACAACAGAATGTGCAATCTGTGTCAAGCGACTCGTACCCACTTTAGTAAAAATCTTGAAGCTCACATTCAGCAAACAAAGCGGTCTGAATTGCTCAATGTGAATCGCTTTCTCCTTCTTTGGTAACAAGGTGATTGTTCCAAAGTTCAATTTAAATAATTGTAAATGACAATTAAACAGATCATGGAATATAGGCATCAAGTCGCCTTTAATAATATGCCAACATTTCTTATAAAGCTCTACTGGGAAGCTATCCAGACCAGGTGCTTTGTTATTCTTCATTTGTGAAATAACCTCAAGCACTTCCTTCTCTGAAAACGGGGCATTGAGAACCTCGTTCTCATCATCTCCTAGTTGAGAAATATCGTCAAGGTCTCATCGAGTGAGATATAATTCTCAACTGGGGCCCCAAACAACTTTTTATAAAAGTTGGAGATATATATCTTATAAGATTCTCATGACCAACAATTGTACCCTTGCCCTATTTAAGTTGTATGCTTCTCTTT